GGGGGGGGGGGGGAAGCATGACCCATTTTGTTTGGTTTTAGGTGATGTCTGTGGGATGCGATTATTGGATGCACTTTTCTGTCTTTGCATTTCCTGGTAGTAGTAAATGTTGGCAATCTCATAGAAAAAACATCCAAGGGATGCTGAGGAGTCTTCTGCAGCATTGATTCCAACCAAATACCTCTTTCCCCTTCCCCTTTTTTACTTTTTTGTACTAGCTGTGGGAGTTCATGCTTTCACTCCGTACCCAAGAATCCTTTTGTGTTATCAGTAAATATTTTAATGTTTCACAGGGGAATCTAATATTTCCTGCTTACTAAACCTGTGATAATAGATAAGCCATATGTAGTTGAACAGTGGTGCATTTTGTGAGGAGAAGTCTTCCGTGTGTACCTTGGCATCTTTATATGAAAGTTGTGCCCTTTGCCCTTTATTTATTTATTTTATTTACTCTATTCTCATACGAGCTTGTTTTCCCCTTGGTATTTTTAGTTGACAAATGCAAATGTTCCTCCCTTTTAATTTAAACCAAAAAGCCTAAAACAATTGTCAGCTTCTACAAATAAAACATATCTTTGGAGCCATCAAAACTCTGGCATCAGAAGTTAGTCTACTCCACCCAAATGTTTTTCAGGTAAAAACTTTTATTTAGTTTCCACGCAGGATAGCGGAAAAGCCTAGACTGCCTAGTGCACTATTTCTATGGTCAGGGAAGCTTTTGCTGGTCTGTAGAACTGCACATAAGACCCTGCTTGTGAAATACCACTCATTTTACTGGCACAATTGTTTGTGCCACCACATGGTGAGCTAGTTAGAAATGGTCCAGTTCCCTCACTAGGTAAACACAGAGTTGGCAAAACCATTGAGAGGAAAAAAAAAAAATGCATGTAAAATTATGGCCTGAGGAAACCACCACCATATCACTTTCGCTATAATCCACCTAAAGGTAAATTGCCAAAAGATGACACTTCTGGCTCAGCTTTCAGGAATTATTTTACATGACAATATAAATGATGTAGGAGCACAATTCGTTTATGTTCTTTCATTTTATTTTGAGCAGGATTTTCTGGAATACTGGACAAGTAAAGTAACTTTTTTTTTTTAAGTTGGAAATCACTAACTTAATTTTGTATTTCTGTTTTTCTTACAGTACTGTGTGCAAAAAACTTGGTGAAAAAGGATTTTTTCCGTAAGTAGCTGTTAAAGTTTTATACGTTTATAGATGGGATAAATATTATGCAGGTTCGTTCTGTACATCAGTGTTTGCACGTGATCATTGTATTAAGATATTTGCGTTAAGGGGGGGTGGGGGCTTTGATGTTTTCACATCGTTTTATTTCAGGGCTTCTAATTTTTTCTTTGGTGACACTCGTCACAGACTCATAATAATAATTAAAACACTGACACGCTCTCTCTGTTTTTGGTGGGAGTGGGGAACAAATTTACTCTCTCAGGCAAATTACATGTTTTTCAATTAGTGCCACGTATTTATTGAAATGTTTTTCATATAAGAGCTTTTTGTTCAGCAGACAGGTGTACATCTTAATTATTAATAATCATGTCATAATACTTACCTATGCTGAAATTATATTTTAATTAATTTTAATAATGTTTTGAAAGAAGTGCTAGGAAGTGGATGAAGGAGGCAGAAAGGAATGTTACTGGCTGTGAAGGTATGCACGCACAGATCACCTGTCTGCCGCCTCCCAGTTGGGAGTAGGAAGAATTCGAAAGATCGGACCTGAACTTTGAAAAGAACTTGAAGGAATGATACAGAATTATATTGTAGTTTGTGATACTTCTAAAACGTGCTTTATATCTGGATTTTTTTATTGATTGCAAGCTTTCAGGTGTTTAAGAGTTTAATATGCTTAAAAAGACCCCTCAAGATTTGAAATCTGTGATACGCTTCTGTACTGAAGCACAGATCTCACAAGGTTCTGTTCCTCCCCTTCCCCGTGTGCTTTGCCTTTATCCCCACGTGCTTTGCCTGACACTTGTCTCGAACCACGCTGCTGCTTGACTGGCTCTGTCGTGAGTCACCTGAGGAAGCGGAACTGGTACAAAACTTGCGCTACAGAAAATGTGAATAATGTTTCACCGCCTTAGTTCCTTCAGCTGACTCACTGGGCGCTCAGATGGGGGGAGGAATTAATATGAGGGGAAAAAGGGATAGGACCGCATGACTTAGGGGCATTAGTGGTGGGACCATCCCTTTTGGTGTCAGTTAATAGGTTGGTTAGAATAGCAGTTGCAGTAGAGCTAATTGTAGGCTGCTCTGGTCCTGCTTCTTTCCCGTCCTCAGCTGTGTAGCCTGGCACCATCTTTGCACTGATTTTTGTTGATCAGCTGTACCTGTGTTCAGTGTCGCCAGGGTACTAAGCTGGCCGAAAGTGAAGTAGGAAGCTAGCAGAAAGCAAAGTGGACCTCAAAGGCAAGAATAACCTGTTAGAGGTGATTTCCTGTAATACCAATAACAACCAAAATTGTGATTGTAATTAATCTTAAAAATAGGAAGAATGTAAATCTGTTTTCTTTGCCTTTTGCTGAATTCTTTGTGTACTGAGAATTTACTCAATCCTGAATTAGGAAGATTAAGGTGTTCAGATCTTTTTTTTCCCCAAAGTGTTTGACTTATACAGCCCAAGAAAAAGTTGTGTCAGTGAAATAAATTGCTAATTTAGCCATTTCCTGTGCTTAATGTGTCATGTTATTCCGATTCGTTAAATATGGCTCCCATTTATGAATAAAAGGCAACTTCAAATAAAATTTAAAAAAAAAAAAAAAAATCTGCAATGACACAGGACTTTAAAGCATCCTGATCCATTTGCCAGTTTTTTTCTTTTCCTCCTCTTAGGACTTCCTGATCCATTTGCTAAGGTTGTGGTGGACGGATCTGGCCAATGCCATTCTACAGATACTGTGAAGAATACACTTGATCCAAAATGGAATCAGCATTATGACCTGTAGGTGGTAACAGTGATAACCAAAGGTTTGAAGTGAAATCCTCTAAAGTACACAGAAATTGTCAGATGTTCTTAATACTGTCCTATTTACAGCTTGGAAAATATCCCAGAGTTTATTAGTTTGAGTAAAAAAATATATGTGTCAAAATACCACTTTCTCATTTCCCTCAAAATCTAAACACTACACTTGGTTTTCTAGTGATGTCTGCAGCATGCTTTACGTGTACTATAGCATTATTTTATTGTAATATTTCCATGTTAACACTTCCGTAAAATGAAGCAAATAATTGACAGTATTTCCCTCAAACTGCTCTTCTCTTCATGCTATTTTTGTCTGTTGCAGTGCTACAGTGTCTTTTCTTCTGTGTGCCTCTTGTTCAGTTTTCTCTCCTTCATGTCATTTTCTGTCCCAAATGTTCTTCTCACTATAAATTATTATGTTGTTATCATCAATTGAGCATTTTTCAGTGCTTTTGAGCAATATAATCGGTATGGTATGTATATGTCATGGTTTTCCTCTGTCTTTCTAAAGCACAGAATATTCTGTATAATATGTTATTAAAGTTTTTCTTTTATTCTTTATCTTTTTCCTTGGGATGGAAGATGAGGAAGAGAAGTGAACAATTTTGCCTCATTGTATTCTCCTTTCTTTCTAAGGCATTGTTCTGATCTCTAACTTTTTTTTCCCATGGCTCCATTCCCTATCTATATTATCAGAAATTGTTTGAGCATATTTACGTTAACTTTGGACATCACCAAACCTGGAGCAAATCAAGTATTAGTACACAGAGAATTTCTTGTCCCCCTTTGTCCCAGTGAAGAAAAGCAGCTTGATAGGTCTTTCAGCAGAATGTGGAAGGCCTGGTTTAAAGCGATGTCTTGACCTACTCTGTATTTGAATATCCAAGACTAAATATGTGAGGTCATTGTTCATAATGTTTTAGTGCAGTATACAAAACATTTGCATTACTGCTTAACAAAATATCATTGGCAGTTTAGTGAAATAATAGCACTTTCACTGAGGAATGCTATAGTATTATAGTTTTATTATTCAAACTCGGTCCAAGCTTAGATTCTGCATGTGAGACTGTAATTCATATTCATTAGAAAAATGGATATAAAACAAATTTAAGTTCATGTAGAAGGAATGGCTCTTTTTCATATTTAAAGAATTCTAAGTTAATTTGATTTTTTTGTTATTAAACCTATCAAAATGTTGATTCGTATAGAATACAGATTTCAGACCTCTGCCCTTCCACGCCCTCTCCAAGATTGACCATCTGTTTGTGAAGATCTAGCTTGAACAGGTTTTTTTTTTTCAACAGCAATTAACACTCCATGCAGTGTCCTAACGGTGAAATTCAAGAGTAGATTGCACTGATCTTGCAGCTTGCAGCCACCAAAAATGGAAGGCCTCCTTTCTTCCCTGTTTCAACCCCTTTCCCAATGTACTGAATGCGTTCATGCTGCCCCCCTTGCACTGGCTCCATCTGGCTTCTGGGTAGACGGATTCAATTCACTTAACCCACAGGAAGGTAGCTGGATAGGGGAAAAAACCGTGTGTAATTCTCTGCTGATTAAATGGGTTGCGTTGGGTCGGTAACAGTGTGCCTGCATTAGCGTGTTAGCTTGCATCAGGAGTGAGCTTTTGTAGTGAGTCTCTCGATCATCCCCGCTTGCTGTGTTTTGGCTCCTTCGGGACGAGTACATGAACCTGCCTGCTTTGGATGAAGCTGAACCGCAAGGTACATCCCCTGAGTACCACCGATGTTCTCCTGCTGCTAACAGGAACTGAAGTTGACAGGATCAGACTAGAGCTAAAGAAAAATCTCTGAAACGCGAGCACGGACATTTATTTTTGTTTAGTTAGGTGGGCCCATTAATGATCATTAATGCGTAGCTTTACAGGGATAAAAGGAGAGTAAGGTGGAAGGGAAAGTGCCGCCAACATGACTTGAGTGTAAAGCCTTCCTATAACCTTTGTACAGCTAGGGAAGGGATACTTTTGAAAGAGGAATGGTGGGCCATCATTTGGCCGTTATCTACTTTTATTTACTTTTATTTTATCTACGTTGCTACTAAATTCTGTGCTGAGAATGTCAACAGTTCCCTGCGTCTTCCCCAGTGGGTATCTGCCAGTCGTGTCTTGGTGTTTGAAGTGCTGTGGTGACAATGCGAGTAAGCAGTTGACAGGAATGGGTTATAAGGGATGCAAAGTGCTCCGTGGGCTAACGACTTGGAGACTTGGCTCCCTTCTGGAGAAGAGAAGGAGCAGAGGACATTGGAAATGAGAGAGGATGTTAATATGCAATGACAGTAATGGAAAAAAAAATAGTAAAATCTTTAGAAAAAGTTCCCTTTTGGTTATAATTTTCAAGGAAGGATGAAGAGAAGGTATTTTTATCTTGTTTTATAGAACAAGTCATGCTTGTATCTGGATACTGTAGTTGTCTGAGCTTTGAAGCAAGATTGTGATTGCAGAAACATCATATTATAAAAAGCAGAGATAGAAATGGGTTTCTGGCAGAATATTTTGCTCAGGCGGATTTGGGGCATCTCTTGTTGGATTGTCCCAAGGAATTTAGACCTGCATGAAACATTTTTTTGTGTGTGGTTTGTTAGGAATTTAGACCTGCATGAAACATTTTTTGTGTGTGGTTTGTTTTTTTTTCTTTTTTGGAAAGATGATGCCTAAAAAAACTAGGTTTTGTTTAGTTAGGATATTATTTTCAATATAAATTGCTTGTCCTGTAGGCAATACTACTTTGCTTGATTCTGGCAGTTGAATTCGCTGATGACAGAAGTATACGCAGCATTTCTAATCCAAAGTAAAATGTAGCGTTATGTCAGGCCTTGTAATTTGAAAATAATCCTCTTTCTCTCAAAATCTTCTTCATAATCATTTAACCCCTTTTATTGTCTTACCTTATTCCTTACTCTATGGAAATTTATTTCCATTTATAAATATCAGTCACCTAGTCTTCAGTTCCTATTTAAAACAGCAGTAAAAGATTAGATCTCTTTGATACAACAACTCACTGCCTGGCTTTTATCTTAAGGTAACTCTTAACTCTAATATACCTGGTGCCAGGTCTCAGCTTTTCATCTGCACCAGATATTAAGATAATTAATTCTTACTTTTGAAGGAAAAAAAAAAGGAGAAATAATAGGAATAGTAACCATCCTACTGCTAAGCACCTGATGGCAAACCTCATCGATTACAGGACTTAATCTTTCTTCTCATCCTTTGAAAATAATAGGTTTTTCAAACTTCCTAATGTTTACCCTAACAACACACCATTGCATGGGAACGCTAGACTCTGCCTTATGACGCTTCCACTGTTACAGGAAATGCTTTGCACACCAAGCATAACAGATGGAGTCTCGGTGGCAGCTTGCCTGCTCCTGCCACCACGCAGCGTAGGAAACCAACCAGAGGAAGGTGCAGTTATGTAGAATTTTTTAAAAAGAAGAATCCTGCTTTTTTTCTTACTGTGAAGATTTCTGTTGGTTTTTTTAAATGACTGTAATAGGCTTATGTGCAGTAAAACTGTCACTTGGCTGTGTTGGGTTGATTGAAATGTCCCCAGCCTGGAATTTGTATAGCAGGTTAACACTGCTGCTAATTCAGTCTCGTGTATCATGTGGTGGCATATGCAAATGGCACAGTAAGATGGATCTGTTGTGATGTATTTATGCAATAGTGTCTGAATTAAGTTGCTAATTCCAAGGGAATTTTGTGGTTTACTAACCTGATTCAGCATATGTCGTGGTTTAACCCCAGCCAGTAACTAAGCCCCACACAGCTGCTCGCTCACTCCCCCCTGGTGGGATGGGGGGGAGAATCAGAAGGGTAAAAGTGAGAAAACTCGTGGGTTGAGATCAAGACAGTTTAATAGGTAAAGCAAAAGCCGTGCGTGCAAGCAAAGCAAAACCAGGAATTCATTCACTCCTTCCCAT